TGCTTTAACAGAACAGGATATGGGTTGTATCACTTTTTTCCCCCTCATCTTTAAGTCTGTTCACTCATAGCAAGAGTTATGACAAGGCAGTAAAAAACATAAGCTTGCAGAAGCGGGGTTTAAGCAACTAAATGATTGGAGTCCTGCAAGTGTCACCAGAAAGAAGTGTCAGTTTCACCGGAAGGTCCAGTTATGACATTTTGATTAAACATTACAAGGTCTTTTTTTTAAAACATGCTCTGTAGATAATAGGCTAAATTAAAGAGATAGTTCACCCAAAAATTCTGTCATTATTACTCACCCTCATGTAGTTCCAAACCTGTAAGACTTTTGTTCATCTGAACACAAATGAAGATCTTTGAAGAAATCTGTATTTTTACAATCTCTAAATGAACTTAAATGGATTCTTCAGGATTTAGCATTAAGCTTTGTATTTAGCAGAAAACCTGTAGTATTTTCGAATTATGTGCTTTCCACCCTCAAATCCCCCTGAGAATAGAGATTTATGTATTTTTTTGTCTGGAAAAAATCCACCGATGACACAACAATCTTCATTTTGTGTCATCTGAGGATTTTTTGGCCAGAGGCTAAAGACTACAGCCAGTAGTAGGGGCTGTCCCGCATACTTTCAACCTGCCCATAGAGGGTGAGATCTCACTCACAGAATGAACACATAGTGTCAGCCATCTTTTTTTTGGAAGCTAAGCTAGCAGGCTCTTGTTCTGTGGAGAAAGCCGAGTAGTAGGGGTTACCATCCTCTTTTTCCCGGACATTCGACATTCATTCATTGTTCACATGCACACCTTTTGATTCAATCTAACTGAATTCATTCCGATTGGTGAATCTGAATGTAGTGTTTATATGAATGCTTAACAAGTGATTGGTTGATGTGCGTTTTAACATTGCTAAGAAAATTCCCACGTCTCCGTGAGATATACGAGAGCGGTGCGTTTCACAAGTGTCACTCATCGGTAATCACGCCACCAGTCTCCCGCGGCCCTCACTCATCCTCGCCACAGTAAACATGATGAATGGCGACTGTTGGACGCAATAACCGAATCCCAGACATTTTGGGTGATTTCGAAACACATTTTCGGGCAGACTCATCATGGAGACTCATTAGTAACATTATCCTAGACTTCTTGTTTAACTACTGCACTCTGTTACCGGTAGGCGTGGCCTCCGAGGGCAGTGAAGCAAGTGCATTCTGGGAGTTGTTGTCTTTCATCCTCATAAGCCAAAAATACAGGCTTTTCTCAGTCTAGAAAGCTCCAAATTCAAAGATAATTTCACATTTCATCTACATTTAAATACACATTCATTTTCCAGAGGTGAAGTATCCCTTTAAGCGTCAAAGTGGTAGTTGTGTAGCTGTCAATGAAGGGACATAAAGCTCTCAGATTTCATCAGGAAGAAATTCATTTGTGTTCCGAAGATGAACAAAAGTCTTACTGGTTTGATACGAGTAATTAATTATTTCATTAATTATTTGGGTGAACTAAACCTTTTACCTTCATTTCATGCTGTCTGTAAACAGTCAAAATAATGCAAATATCTTATATAATGCAAGGTTCATAACAAAAACACAGCTGGATTGCCTGGGAATATTGGAACATTTGGTTTACACTTGGATGTGTGTGGGTTTTTCTGTAAATGATTCCCCCTATTTAGCATACTGCATCTTTTCTGTGATTGGTGGATATGCGGCATGCTTGATGTTGCTTAGTAGCGCTTATTTATGTTTAGTCGCTGCTTTCCCCATCCTTCTTCCCCAAGCCTCTACCCATTTAAAGCAGAGTATGTAACTGTTTACAAATCGCCGGTCCAAAATGGAGCGGAGAGCACGAGTTCTGCTGTGTTTATGGAATTAAACAACTACGCTGTTTGTGAAAGGGGAATGGACCGCGTTGCTCTCATATGTGGCTGCTGTCACATGGGTTATTGACAGATTTAATAAAGAGACCACAAAAGTCTCCATCAACATTCTTGACCGTTTTGATACTACTTTAGTCAAAGTGGTCATGTATCAAACTGTCTTTAGGACTTTAACATGATATTGGAGAAGGTTTATTTGTGTGCTAATGTAGTAATTAATCATTGTGCGTTGCAAATGAACAATTTGTTTTTAATGAGAAACGGGGTGTTTGGCATGTTTTTTTAGGGAGTCTACATACTGAAGGACACCGCTTGCTTCCTTTTAACTTTCTCCAAGTTGACTTGACATCAATTCTGTCATTGGAGTCCAAAAATAACAACCTCTGAAGAGATGTCAACATGTGAACAGATATGCAGCTAAAAATCTCTGTTTGCACTTGCAGTATTGGACCTTTGAATCAACCTAGTACATATTCTACAATATCGGGACATGCGTCTATGGAATACTTGGTTGTGATTGATTGTTTGCAGCAGTTTTCAGTCAAATATTGATTGTTTGAAACTTTGAAGACTGCTAAACAATTTTATTACTGATTTTCAAAAGTAGTTGACTCTCTTTTTTTGTGTATTGCTCAGCAGTCTTAGAATCGGCTTTATTGATTTGAGTTTAAATTTTGTCTAGTTTTTAATGGATCCATTCATGCAATGAGATGAATGTAGGATTAGCCTGACGTTATCGCAAAACAAACCTCTTTATGGTGATATGAGACCTGATCTTCCTATTTTGAGATAGACTATGACTGTAGGTCACACCCTTTTTTGTTTTCCATGGTCCAATTTTTCTTTGTATTAAATTAAAATAAATAGAATTAAACAAATTGCCCTAGTTTTGATTTAATTTAATGTATTGGCTTAATGTAACTTTCTGTAAAACTAAAATAGGATATAGTATACACACATACAGTATTACATCATATTACATATTACATAATTAATTAATGTGATTTTCTCCATATGATTTACAATTTCTACCCATTAAAATATTTTAGAGCTTGTCATAACTATTAAAATGTATATTCATTATACAATACTGTATATATCAAATGTAAAATTTAGGCTGCTACATCACATATCCATCACATTTTAACTTATTTTAATATTTATTTCTGCCTTTATTTTAAGGCCCCCTTGGATTTTGCTCATGTTTCCTGGTTGTATTAATAACTTTCTGAAGGCAGGTATATTCCCTAATGTTGATCTGTTTCCTTCTAATCAATAGACTTTGGCAATAAAATGAGGTGGTTGTGCTGGCTAGCAAGATTTCAGTTGTCATACTTCTATCAGTCTTAAAATAGACACATGCTATTAATAGCAGTGTGTGAATTGTGGGAGATCAGACCGCTGAATTATAAATCCATCCCATTTGGTCAGGCTCATCTGTTCCTTCATAAAGTGCCAGATCTAAAACAGGAAATGACTCCGCACCAGCTTGTAATCTTTCAACTAAACAGACATTTCCTGCTCAACTTGTTTTTTGACATTTTCTTTCTACCATCTATTCCAGCGAATACCCTCATCCCACCCCCGTCTCTCTTTCTCTCCCTCCTTCACCCTTTGTTTGCGCTGTATTGACAGGAACCTTGGAATCTCTAGATGTTATTAGTTTCTCATGCTGGTTATTTGTTGTCCCAGTGCCGTCACATGGCCTTCATCTCTTATTTGATTTTCCAGTGATATCTGGAAGCAATGTTCCCTCTAGTTTTTGTTCTTGCTAAGCAAAACATATTTCTATTGGACAGAGCCTTGGGCCATGTAACAGTTTAGTTCTTAGGTCATCACATTTTGTAGACTCTTTAAAGATTTTTTTTTTATTCATTAAAAACAATAGAAATAATAAAATCTATATTGCAAAAATATATTGTCAGGATGATTATGTTATTTAAATCTGCAGTCAGGTTTCATTTCTACACCTCTACAATCTGTTATTGGACAACAACATGGCACCAATACTGTTAGAGTTAGAGCTGCACGTTTAATCGTAAGTTTGCAATCTCGATTCAAACACATGCTATCTTATTTTAAATGGCAACGGTTCGCCTGTGTCTATTAAACCTTTGACAAGTACGATCACAGCGAACATTCAGATCTGCTTTCACGCTGCCGCTGAGCCAGAGAGAGCAGTTTTCGTGTATTTGTATTTTGTTACAATGATTTGAATTATCACAGAAGTACTTGATAAAAGTTTATATTTCGGATATAAACACTGTCTGCCCTAGTGATTAAAATAGATTGATTCATCTTTTGAAAATAACTTTCAAATCAATATTGTATCGATTATATATATAAGAGAAATGTATTTTGTCATTGAATCATTCACTTAAGATATTTGTTCAAAAAACGCATATTCATCCAACAATGAAACAAGCGAAGTCTTTTAAAGTGAGTCATTGAATCATTCATTCAGTTTTTTTAAAAAATCATTCAAATTAATTAAACTTTTTTAAGTAGACTGCAGCAATTAAAGGGATCGTTCACTTTGAAATAAATTTTTGATATGTTTTAGCTTACCTCAAGGGCATCCAAGATCTAGGTGTCTTTGTTTTCACAGTATTTTCAATTTTTATATTTTTAGGTCAAACCGTTCTTGTCTGTCAGTCCTATAATGGAGGTCTATGGGGTCCACTTGTAAATGTAAGTACACATTGATGGCCTAAGACACGAAACAAGCTTTTTTTTGTGAGAAAACGAACAGTATTTATATCGTTTTTACCTCTTGTAACCATAGCCACGTCCAAGTGATCTGAGGTAAAAACAATATAAATACTGTTTATTTTCTCACACAAACCACTCGTTTCATGTCTTAGGCCATCAATGTGTACTTACATTTAGGAGTCATTAAATCATGTTTAATTTGGACTTCTCTGTGCATGCTCTTTGAGGTGGTGACCATAGACCTGCATTAAATGACTGACAGACAAGAACTAAGAATTTATCAAAATCTAAAATACTGTGGAAACAAAGACACCTAAAACATAGCGAAAAATATTTTCAAAGTGAACTATCCCTTTAACATTCATGTTACTTTTAGTTTTCTATTTGAAACAAAAAGAAAAAAAAACGTCCAATGTCTTTTTCAAAGAGGCACTTTTATGCAATTTTTCCACATGCACTGTAGATTTCAGATTTACATTTATCATCATGCAAACATTTATTAGAGTTTACGGGTTCAGCAATAATTACAGAGAATGACTGTATTTATTCTTGAAAGTGGGAAGTCATACACATTTAGGATAATATATGTAATTTCAGAGTCTGTGTTTGATTGCGTCCATGCATGCTATTTAGTCTTTGAGAGTCTGTGTTGATTGGAGACGGTGCTGTTTAATGTGCTGACACCTAGTCTATTACACATTCTGTTTTCAGTTAACACCCTTCACCAACTTCATGTGCAAGTAATGCATCAAAGACATGTCGGCTCATGCATTTGTGTTCTTGCTCAGACGAGCATATGTGCAAAGTTTCGGTTTATGTGGCTTGGTTCTCTAAAGGAAGACTGCTTCATATGACAAAAGACAGTCACATCACTCTTCTTTGGACCTGCCACCAATCCCTTTGGAGAGATGGGGGCCTGGATATTGTTGTGCAATTCAGATCTGAGTCTGTCCCTCTTTGCTTTTTGTGCAGGTGAACTGTCCCTCACTGTAGTTTCCCGTCCGAGCCAAGGACATGGAGGAGTGCGAGTCCGCCCCTGCCAGTTTCAAGAGGAGGGCCTGGGCTCAGAGCCGAGACTCCTGGCAGGCTCCTGAGTCTCAGGACCAGGGAGCAGAGGAGCCGCGGTCTGCACAGCCTATGGAGGATAAGACTTCGACAGCTTCAGAAACAGGTACAGTCTTGACTCTTTATCATTATAAATGGAATAACGGTGCCAATTCGATTTCAGGTTTGTTTGTTTGTTTATGTTCTTACCTTCATATTTATCTGACCTTCTTTATTTGTGCTTTGAGATCATCTTCTGCACTCACTCTTGACTCGCACCACTTCTAAAGGGTCTTTTAGTCACACACACCTTATTTATGGAACTTGTTGCGACAGGATGTGCGAAACAGTGAAAGTTTTCTTGTTTTTAAATCACGCCTTAAAGGGATACTCCACTTTTTTTGGAAATAGGCTCATTTTACCATTCCCTCAGAGTTAAACAGTTGAGTTTTACCGTTTTCGAATGTGTTCAGCCGATTTTTTTTTTTTATATTTAGAAGAAAATCAGTAACCAGACAGTTTCTGGTCTCATTGACTTCCATAGTATATATTTTTTTGCTACTATGGAAGTCAATGAGACCAGAAACTGTCTGGTTACTGATATTCCTCTAAATATAAAAAAAAATCGGCTGAACACATTCGAAAACGGTAAAACCCAACTGTTTAACTCGGGGGGGAATGGTAAAATGAGCCTATTTCCAAAAAAAAGTGGAGTATCCCTTTAAGACCCATCTTTTAGGCAAGCTTTTGCTTTTATGCTTGTGTATCCAGTGTGTCCAGGCTGTAATGATTGTTTGTCATTTAATTTTGATTTTTGTTTTATTGTGTTTTTAAAGTGTCATGTAAGGTATTTTTTTAGAAATGTGTCATTTCATCGAATTAAGCAATGATTGGCACAGCCATGTGGATTCAAAAATGCAGAACATACAGTAGAAATTTTGTCAAAACATTGAAGGTATGTTTAAATTTAATGACATAGTAATGAACAGCATTTACCATTGTATATTGTTACGTTAATGTTTTAACATTTGAAAAAAAAACTCGCACAAAAACGTATACCACGCAGAGATTAAGCGATGCAAACAAATACTTGATTTTAAATCATTTGATTGAATATGGACAGTTTGAACTGATTCGTGAAAATACAATTATGATATTAACTATATTTTTGTAAGTTTCAGCCAGAGATGTTATTAAATACTCGATTTTGTAGAAACGGATTAATTCATCTCCAAATAATCAATATATTTGATATGCTAAGTTTGTACATTGCTAATAAGGATTTTAGCATAATTGCTAATTGCTGTTTTAACATTGTTTGCTTGAATCTGGAATTTTTTTTCTTTTAAACCCCAGTTTTACATGAATTAAGCCTGCATTTTGTGAATGATAACATTTCTTGGCCTCAGCGATACGGAGAAATACCTGTAATACTCTTATAAATGGACAGCTAAAAAAAATGTATGCAAATTTAGGCTGATATTTAAATGCAGGCCAGAATAGCGAACCGTACGAATTTTGTTTTTATCTTTTGAATCGGAGTTGTCAACACATCTTTTGGGTGTTTGAAGGTTTATTGGAAGTCATAATGTAGTAACGGAGTGATTTAAAGAGGTTTGTCTGCTTGCCTTGGCATTTTATTCTCCATGCAAGTCATGATAAACCAGTTAAGAGCAAAAAAAGTTTTTTGAAAAATAGGAATCGCAGTGGTAGTTCAGACTCAGAGAGTGACGTGTTTGTCGTCACAGTGAGATTTGTTTGTTTGATGTTACTTTTAGGGAAATTAATTTGGTTATTACACAGAACGGTTACTTGTATTCTCTTTTTCCTCAGGTCCTAATCCAAATCAAGTAGAGAACTGGCTCAGGACCTGCAGGTGAGTTACCTAAAAAAAACACTGTTCATAAAATGCAAATAGTGTGAGAAAGATGTGTGTACACGCCATGCTGTGACGTGAATCGGTAAGTAAACAAATCGCTCAGATGCGTTCTGGCAGAGAAAAGCATTCTCTCTCCTGTCTCTGACAAGCTGTAAATTTGAGAGAATTGTGTGAATAGACCGGGATCTTCCCAGAGTCAGGAAAGTCTTTACTTGAGGACTTACTATTGTCCTTTGTGCTGCAAGGTTTTTTTTTTGGTGGCTTTTCTGGGTCTGTAGGGGCCCATTAAAGCTGAAGTTGTCCTCAGAGAGTTTTTTGTCTTTCTCTCTGTACTGCCAGGCTGTTTTTTTTTTAAGATGCACTACTGTTTAGCTCTTAAACGTAGGAGGAAAGGGCCATTTATTTACTTTGTAGATATACGTCCCTCATGACCAACATAAACCTTCCCTGTGAAAAACAAAACCAAGATTCCAGAGTTGTTGGTGCGTGTCCCTGTCTGCCGTTTCATCTTGTGATCTAAAAGGAAGCCTTGCATGTTTGTTTGAGCATTGACAAAAAAAATTGTCTTAAAGGAGTAGTTCACTTTTGAAAAAACTTTTGCTGATAATTTACTCACCCCCATGTCATCCAAGATATCCATGTCATTCTTTCTTCAGTCAAATAGAAATTAAGATTTTTGATAAACATTCCTGCATTTTTACTCCATATAATGGACTTCAGTGAGAACCAAACGGTTCAAGGTCCAAAAGACACTTTCAGTACAAACTGCAAACTGTTCAAAGGGCTTTAAACGATTCCAGATGATGAATAAGAGTCTTATCAAGCAAAACGATCGCTCATTAAAAAAAAAAAAAACAAAGTTTAAGTTTTATAAGCACAAATGCTCGCTTTGCTCTCTGTTCTGTGACGCACGTTTGTGACTCTCCTGTTCAAACTCGTTCATCAAAATGAACAAATCTTTTTCCGAGTCATTTGGTTCATTCAACGAACGAAACGAACAAATTGACTCAGAAAAGATTTGTTCATTTTGATGAACGAGTTCGAACAGGAGAGTCACGAACGAGCATTACAGAACAGAGCAAGGCGAGCATTTGAGCTTATAAAACTTAAACTTTGTTTTTTTTGTTTTTTTAAATGAGCGATCGTTTCGCTTGATAAGACCCTTATTCGTCGTCTGGAATCGTTTGCACCTGAACCATTTGGTTCCCAATGAAGTGCATTATATGGAGAAAATCCTGGAATGTTTTCATCAAAAACCTTAATTTCTTTTCGGCTGAAGAAAGAATGACATGGATATCTTGGATGACGTGGGGGTGAGTAAATGATCAGCAAAAGTTTTTTGAAAAGTGAACTACTCCTTTAAGGTCATTTACTCAACTATTTTCGTTAAAGACTTGAGAATCGTTTGTTGTCAATGATTGCGGTCATAATCTGAATCTTTGAGTTTAGAAGCTGGTGTGCTTGTAAAGGTTTTTCCAACAGATTTGGAATTATTCACATTGATGAAGTTATGTAGTTGTTCCAAAGTGGAAAAAATAAAAGATAAAACAGAGCCAAATCACATTTGATATGGGCCATTATAATTATGACATGTAAACCTTTTAAAGTTTGGGGTTGGTAGTATATATATATATATATATATATATATATATATATTTAAAACGTTTTAAGACTCTTTTTGAAAGAAGGCTCACCGAAGCGGTGTTTATTTGATGAAACATTCAGTTAAAAAAGTATATTGTGAAATATTATGACAAAATTTAAAATAACTAATCTCCATTTGATTTGAATATGTTTTATAATGTTATTTATTCCTGTGATAGCAAAGCTGAATTTTCAGCATCGTTACGCTTCATTGTCACATGATCCTTCAGAAATTATTCTAATATGCTGATTTGCTGCTCAAAAAAACTTTTATTATTATCAATGTTGATGAATAGAAAGTTTGTTTACACTTTATTTTAAGGTGCCTCTGCCAGTGTAATTATACATTTAAATACTCTGTAATAATAATTACCTAGCCTACATATGTACTTACTATCGGATTAGGGTTAGTAATAGGGTTTGGTTTGGGCTAGCTACATGTAATTATGCATATTTTGCTGTTTACATGTAACAAGGACAGTGTAAAATAAAGTGTTACTTAAGGTTCAAAAGAACGGCATTTATTTGAGACTTCAATAATGAGCGTATTTTTTTATTTTTGGGTGATATGTTCCTTCATAGTTGATTTAATCAAATGCTCAGAACTACTGCAAATTCCCCCGTTGAACCCGGTGCCACACACTAGGTCAATAAAAATACCTCGTGCTCGTCCTATTCCCAATTCCTGCTCATTATCATTAAACACACATGAGACAGACATCCTCCTACAGGCTGACAGGAAATGTAAGTGTCTCTACCGCAGAGAGTTTGCTGGATATCCGGAGCCTGAAAGACTTTCAGTGGTGCTGCTGCTGTTGTGAAACATGGCGTGAGCTATTCTTAGCCTCGTTGTACGCGGTGCGTTTTTTTTCTCACGCCGTTCGGATCTCCAGGTGTCTGGATGAAAGTGTCAGGGGATTTCGAAGGCGGCGTTGCGTAAGTACCAAGGGAATCTGTGTCAGGGCTTTGCAGTGTGTACGAAGAAACGAACACGGGAGGGAAGGATGTTTAAGCGTGTTTTTAGGGAGAGATCTGGCGAAAGTAAGGAGAGGATATGACGTGTTATTGATCTTTCAACAGGACTCCTCTCGGGGCCTCTTTGGATGAACAGAGCGGCAGTCCGTCCAGAGGTGAGCTTATCTTCTTCAGACCAAAAGTGATGCGTTTATTTGCATTTACATAAGTTGCGTGTTGACGTTCTGGGATCGGGTTTACTGTAAAAGTTACTCAACTGCTGGCTGACTCTCTTCTCCACCACTCCTTGTGAACTTTGGAGCAAGACCTCACCGTGCACTCCAGCGCACATGCACGTTCATTGGCACACACACATGCGCGCGCACACGTATGCTGCTTTGGGGCCAATAGCAGACCCCCACACACTCCTGGCAAAGCAGTGCTTGATTAGATGAACGGTTCTTCAGGGATTAACACTATTCAGGACTGAAGCCAAGAGCCAGATAATGTGTTATGGATCAGTTCATTGGAAACTGCATCGTCAGTCTTTCTGATAACTTTGTAGGTAAGGCAATTGCACTTAAGAGTAAATATTTACTCTCTTAATCTCTAAGTGCGTGCAAGCCACAGCCACTTTCAGGCTCTGAAGTACTTGGATGTATTCAAGTGGGTTTTTTTTTATGTTGAAGAGAATGGGAAATGATCACTTGTTGTTAGCGATTGGTCAGGGTGAAGTGTTTGCTCTCTGAAAGCTGTTCTCTTTGTTTTTCAGGGCCATTAAAGAATGGCTGTAGCTTTGAAGATGACCTGTCCCTGGGAGCTGAGGGTAAGTACTCGCTACTTTATCCCCCAATCAGATGTAATTGCTCTCAAGTGTGTTTCTTTGTGAGAAATGTGCCGAAGTATTCCAAGAATCCCACGTAGCTTCTTAGAGGTTAATGAACCGGTTGACAAACAAGAATGACTGCTGGCCGCCTGTGGTGTTGTTATTAAAACCTAATGGGTCTGTTGTCAGTTTTTGTGTTGTTTATTGTATACTTTCTATTTGGATTCTGTTGCTGTTAAAGACAGACAGTGACATGCTCGCACATGTATGTGATATTCTGGTTGATAGACTGGTGTTGGCACATCGGGTAACTTATCTCTGGTTTCATGGTGCACCTTATGGACCATGTGTTAGCGGGAGAGGTACGCTTAAATAATAAAAGTGACTTTGCGGCTGACTTTTAATTCCACTTTAGTTCTCGATGTCATAGCAGAGGTGTAGCAGAAGTCTGATGTTAGTTAGCTAATATTTGTGGTGAGGAACTATTTAATGCTAATGTGTAATTAGGAAGTGGATTGTTTTTGTTTGTTACGTCCAATATGGCACATTTTCAAGCCATACATTTTGCTTATCGGCCATACGTTTTTCAATATTTATGGTGTTTTCTAAAAATTAATATATTAAAATACATTTTATTTTCATTTTATTTTATATGTTTTAAAACTAAAATGTAAAATATTGTATGCATGTGTATATATACACTATGTATGTGATGAATTTACATTTATATTCTGAATTGCATATATTTATATTTTTAAATTGTTTCTGGAGGGAAAAATGTAGGCATCCTTGATATTTCGCTGTGGAAAACATTATTTTTTAGAAGGCTGAATGTTGATTTTGACTCATGCACGTCTTTGCTTGGTTAGTGTTAACTTTGGAACCTGTGTGTGCTACTTAAACTTTAGTAATGTTTCAAAAAACAACAGTAATAAAACAATATTTATGACAAAGTAATTTAAAAACAATATTAAATGAGTAGTTCTCTTTAAAAAAAAAAACTTTTGCTGAAAATTCACTCACCCCCATGTCATCCAAGATGTCCATGTCATTCTTTCTTCAGTCGAAAAGAAATTAAGGTTTTTGATAAAAACATTCCAGGATTTTTCTCCATATAATGGACTTCAATGGGAACCAAACAGTTCAAGGTCTAAAAGACGGTTTCAGTGTAAACTGCAAACTGTTCAAAGGGCTTTAAACGAATCCAGACGATGAATAAGGGTCTTATCAAGCGAAACGATCGCTCATTTAAAAAATAAATAACAAAGTTTAAGTTTTATAAGCTCAAATGGTCGCCTTGCTCTGTTCTGTGATGCACGTTCGTGACTCTCCTGTTCGAACTCGTTTTTGAACATTGAACTCATTCAGTTCGTTGAATTGGATTCCATTTTGAATCGTTTTGTTCCCTTATAAAACTGAAGTCGCATTATATGGATCGAAAACAGTTTGCACTGAAACTGTCTTTTGGACCTTGAATGTTTTTTCCCACTGAAGTGCATTAAATGGAGAAAAATCCTGGAATGTTTTCATCAAAAACTTTAATTTCTTTTCGACTGAAGAAAGAATGACATGGATATCTTGGATGGCATGGGTGTGTGAATTATCAGCAAAAGTTTTTTTAAAAAGTGAACTACTCCTTTAACGGTATGAAATGTGGTAAAGCACTTGCATTGTTTGCTTGTGTAATGGGCCATCAATTATACTAGGCTATATGCCCTTGGTTATTATGCTATTTTATGTGTGGGTGTATTTTGTCAGTTGTAGAATGACTAGTTTAAACAACACAACAAGTTGAGGAGAAACATTTTTCTGCAGACTTGCCACAAGCCATTGTGAAACTGCCGTCGACCAGATTTCACCCCTTACTGTGTCTGTATGTGAAGAAACAAGTCCAGACTAGTTCCACTGAATGACTCGGCTCCTATCCGCACTTATTGACTAAAGCACAGGAATCAGGCAGCACCAGTTGTGGGAAATTGGAGGTTGAGCATTTACACCTGAGGCTGATGGATGAATGCATGTAAACCAGGATGAATCTCTGGCTAATGTCCTCAGCGTCTCTGTGTTCAATCCTGTCCTCTTTAGTGAACTAAAACCTGGTGTCTAATGTGATTTGTAACACGAATCGCTTGGCAGGTTAGGATGTGTGCACATATAATTCTGTCATTGTGCTCTAAGTGCTGAGGAAAAGTGGATTGTCGTCCAGAGTGGATGTTCTCAGGTGAATAAATCACTTTTGGAAATTAACATTATCACAATGTTAAATAAGGCTCTTTCGAAAAATAAATAAATAAATTCGGACTCTTCCCACAATGCTAAAATGACAGTCAGGGCTTTTGCTAACTAGACTTGTTGTGTCAAAGGTCGACAGGTGGTTTGAGAGGAATTTGGTATCAAATTCGGTAGGAATCCAGCACAGTTAAGCCTATATTCTTCTTTCTCTCTACAGCCAATCACCTCCAGAACAGCAGCACAAAAACAGAGGCCAATGGGTAAGCAGGACTTCAAAAATGTTCCCATTTTCTGTTGGTCTAGTCACAGGTGGATGACTGTCTTCTTTCCCCAGCTTTGAAATGCCAGCCAAGGCCAAAAGGAGCCAGTTCAAACAGAAGGGCAGAAGTATGAACTCCACAGGCTCTGCTAAGAGCAGCACCACAGTGTCCAGGTACTTTACAGCAATGATGGACTAAAGTTATTTACACATGTAAAACCGATGTGCTTGTGAATCCACAACAACTCAGTGATTAGGCAAGGAGTTTGAATACAATAAATGTATAATCATTTTAATTAAATTTTTACTACAGTTAATGATAATCTGGCTATATTTAAATAACTTTTACTTATGTTTCAGATTAGTGATAGACCAATTAGTTGGCTGATATCTGATTAGTTAAATAGCTATTACTAATTATATAGTATTATATATTTATTTATATATATATATATATATATATATATATATATATATATATATATATTATATACACATGTTAGGGCTGTCAAACGATTAATCGCATCCAAAATAAAGTTTGTCTTTACATAATATATGTGGGTGCACTGTGTGTAATTATTTTGTATATATATATAAATACACGCACATGCTTTTATATATTTAAGAAATATTTTCATTTATATAATGTATATAGATTTATATATAATTTATATTATATATAAATATAAATTTTTTTTATATATAAAAAATATTTTTTCTTAAATATACATGCATGTGTCTGTATTTATACATTTTTTTTATATTTATAATCGTTTGACAGCCCTAATATATATATATATATATATATATATATATATATATATGCTAAATAGAAAGAAATACAATTTTCCATGGCATCGTATTTCCTACGTACTGTAACTGTGCAGTAGTTCATACATCTCTCATATCTTAAAAATAATTTTTATAATAAATAAGGTGTGTAACAACTACTGCATACAAAGATGGTTGAAAATCAGCAAACTTGTCCATTTTTGTGGCGGCATTGAACTGTAAGCCATGCTTATGCTGAAGTGTCTTCTGACAGAAGGTTTATGCAGAGTTGTTGTATGCATGTTAAAGGGTTAGTTCACCCAAAAATGAAAATTCTGTCAGTATTTACTCACCTTAATGTTGTTTCAAACCTCTATGTGTTTATTTGTTCTGCTGAACACAAAGGAAGATATCTGGAAGATTGTTTTAATCAAACAGATCTCATTCCCCATTGACTACCATAGTATGTATTTTTTCCTACTATGGTAGTCAATGGGGAATTAGATCGGTTTGATTAAAACATTCTTCCAAATATCTTCCTTTGTGTATAGCAGAACAAATAATCAAACAGATCTCATTCCCCATTGACTACCATAGTAGGAAAAAATACATACTATGGTAGTCAATGGGGAATGAGATCTGTTTGAGTAAATACTGACAGAATTTTCATTTTTAGGTGAACTAACCCTTTAACTAATGTTAACCTTATTGTAAAGTGTTAACAAGAAGATCTTTATATGCAGTGTCTGTTATGCATCACTTTGGCAAATATCTTTGTCTTCACGGATGTTGTTTTTCCTGCAGTGTTTCGGAACTGCTGGACCTGTATGAGGAGGATCCAGAGGAGATTTTATACAACCTCGGCTTTGGACAGGAGGAGCCCGACATCGCCTCAAAAATCCCTTCTCGCTTCTTCAACTCGTCTTCTGGCGCCAAGGGCATCGACATCAAAGTTTACCTGGGAGCCCAGATTCAGCGCATGGAGCTGGAGAACCCGAACTATGCCCTAACAAGTATGTCAACTGAACTGTCAACAGAATCTATCATGTTTGATGGCATTTCTGCCCCCGTGGTTCACACCGATCGAAATGATTAATTGAGGGAAATATTAAATGTTGCATACAGGGTTTAGCAAGCATTTAAAAATGCCTACATTTATCCCCTCCCCTTTCTTTAATCTGAAAAATAATCATTACATCATTGTTTCGTTTCGCATGGCCTTAATGCTTAGAAATAACATTGTAGCTAGGCAACCGAACAACTTTCAAGTCAACATGTTTACTTTCTTAATGCACGTTTATTGTGCACAATTCATTGTGCATGTTATTGCAAATAAAAAATATTTGTCCTAGAAATCTTTAAAATAACTTAACTTCCTCTGCTTTTTGAAAAGACTTTCCTTTTTGGCTCACATGCAAAGCATTCCCCAGTACCTCCACTCCAGGTTTTCAAAAATTCCCACTCGCTCCTTGCTCTCAAGTGAAAGCGATATTTGCACCGATACCGATCTACTAAGTTATTTTCAATATTTTTTTCCATCTGAAATGCCCATGTATTTCTAAGTCTTCCTTTCTTAATCTCAGTAATGTTTCAGAAAACGTTCTTGTGTTTTGTTTGCTTTTAGTCTATTAACGTGGTTTAATTAAATGCATATTTCTGATATGCAATTGAATTTAGGGATGAATGATATATCATTTTTGACCAATATTTGTTTTATTTTTTGTTTATCAGTGGCATCAATTATTTAACTGTGCATTAAAAAACGAATAATTTAATAACACTGTTAAATATAAAATTAATGTCCATTTATATATATATGCCTAAATTCACTTCCAGCATTTCAAAAATGAATTAAAAAAAATCTGTTTTAATTAATATATTTTGACAAAATAGTGTAGAATTTTAAAATTGGACATTATTTTATTAATTTTCAACCGTTAACATGAAAATATCTAACGGTATCATTATCAGCCAGGATTTTGATATAAAATTATCCTTAATTGCATTATCGATCCTGGGACGAGAGAGAGAGAAAAGGAAGCATTGCTTACACTCACCACTACATACAAGTATTTAACTATATAAAAGAGAAGAGTTGAGGGAAGTTGTGGTGCCTAGACAAGAAGCATGTTTGACTCTAAGACCGCATTGCAGAACATCTAATCCATGGACGTTTCTCAGTTACTCCATATCTTCAACCAAACACAGAGCTCCTAACCCTCAAACACTCGCTGTGTG